TCGAATTTATGACACTAGTTATGTACACGTGTATGCATGTTTTTCAACCATTTCTATAAATTACAATTATTAGGAATAAATATATCTTTTCTAACTACTGCTCCTCTAATGATGACACTTTTATGAATTAGCCCAGCTACCTAAGATAAGGCTAGTGCAGCAAGTGAGCATTGTCCTTTAGGCACCATGTACATTTAATTTGCAAAAGACACACCATCGTGGCCCAATTTAACATTATTATTGATTTGTCCTTGCCTTTGAATTGTCTTAATTTGTGTTGCGGTCAAATATGCTATGGTCTTTGATGAGGTCCAATTGTATGTTAAAAAAAAAAGAAGAAGTAATTTTAGCCCTACCCATGTGACCAACTTAGAGATTTTTGAGACAAATCACACTCACCATTTTGGATAAAATTAGTTCACTAAAGCCATCATATCACATGCAACATGACCCTAGTATTGGGCAACCCAATGCCAACACGTCGCAAAGGCAAGGTGAATCGCACTATCTAGCTCAACTCGATGTATATTCCATTTATCGATATGATAAAATTTTTGACAATATTTGAGATTTACTAATTTAATTAATTTGATTTTGCTTGAAGTACAAGTGTTTTTATTAGGAATTTATTTTTGTTTTCCAAGAAAACTCAATTTTTCTCATACTTTTAATTAATGATGAAAAAGTGTTGGCTAAATTTTGATTCACGTAACCTTTAAAAAAAATAGTAAATAATTTGCTAGATGAGGGGAAGTTAATTTAGTTATAAAATCCCATTACCCAATTTAATGAAGACTGATATTATTTAGCACGTTATGGGCGGTCCTCTTTCATGTTAGAATTTGTATTAAATTAGTTATATTTATACGTATATCCCCCACAATCGTCAATGTTATATTAATAAAAGTGGTGTTGAGACCTCTTTTGGTCTTAAAAGTTGCACATGAAATAGTGTTCCAAGACCTACCCAACCCCCACTACCTCAAGACATAAACAAAATACAGGGGAAAATAAAAAGGACGAAAAGAAGATTACATAAATGTACGTAGCTTCCTATATATCGGTCTTAATTCATTGTAGAAGGCATAGGCCCAAGGGCAAAATCAGTTAGTACATTAAAGACAATTGATGTTGTGGGCCTTAATGAATACTAATATGTGCAATTTTCATACATAGCAAATATAGATTTAAATATGTATAATTCGCTATATATATACAATTAAAATTTATGTCTATTTCGCTATACAATTGAATCGAATTGTATAAAACGAGAAAGAGAGATATTATATACAATTTGAATTGTATAAAATGAGAAAGAGAGAAAGACAAAAGGGGCTTGGGCAGAGAAATATTTGTCTTGTATAATTTATAAGTGATGATTATATACAATTTGAATTTGTATAAAACGAGAAAGAGAGAAAGACAAAATAGGCTTGGGCAGGGAATATACAATTAAATCTAATTGTATACAACGAGAAAGAGAGAAATTATATACAATTTGAATTTATATAAAACGAGAAAGAGAGAAAAATAAAAGAGGCTTGGGCAGGAAAATATTTATATTGTATAATTATAAGTGTATAGGACGGAGATATATGTATTTGCATATGTATATACAATTTTCTCTCGCTTTATACAAACATAAACACAGTTTATACATTTCTATTGTATAAAGTGAGAGAGACGAGCGAGAGAGAGAGAGTGACGAGCGAGAATATGAGGGAGAGAGGCGACTGACAAACAATTTGCTATGGAACACAAATAAATCAAACGATAGCTACTATATTTATTTTACATTATTAGTTTGTCATTTCTATACAATTATCCTACTAATAAGACTCATGCATACTCACTCTGTGAGTCTCCGAGGTTCAATTGAACTCGTACATAAGCTTCTAGCTCTCGACAATGTGCCATCGATCTCTTAGGATAGACATGTATGGTGCTGGGTTTTGTGCAGAAGATGTATATAGGATAAAATTAGAGCAAGGAAAGAGACCTTTCGTATCAAGTGTCCGACTGATTACAAACACACTGAATCTGTCCTTAGCAAAATACTGTGCCCATAAATATATATTTGGGCACCCCAAATCTTGTAGCATCACTTTCATCAATAATTAGTAGGATAAAATCATAAAACGAACCCTCCTCAATTATTGAATTCTAAATAACTTTTATTTTGTCTTGTTCTCCAACAAAAATTACCTTTCCATAGTGTGAGGGAACCATTTTTATTTAGTTACTAGCTAGAAAATCATATTTTGTTTCGCCTTTCTAGTATTAATTATAATCTATCAATACTCGAAAAAAAGAAAATTAAAATTGATAAAAATTGAAGTGATCAACAATGAATCAAGTTAATTATTTAATTTAACTCTTAACATTTTAGAAATTAGTTGATTGGTTTAACTTTTTTTTTGTTTGTTCGAGAGAAGTCGTTCCAACAAAACCTTAATCTCATTTGCTTTAATTTGTTGATCTATTTGAATTACAAATCTATCTTATTTTATCTTGTGCTAATAAGTTTTATGCCATCGTTTTATTGGATATTTTGATTGGTTTAGTGCCATTATGCCACGTATCTAAGATATGCAACACTAACTTGAGCTCCAAGATGAAAACTAAGAACCATTTGGACCTTAGACCTAGTTAGCTCATGTTTTGACATCCTATTGGACCTTTATTTAAGTCCATGGAGTTTTTGGCTAAAATTATTCTTTAATTATGACCTGAATTTAAAGTATATTCTTGTTTTATAAATGAGAATAAAAAATATTCTTTTACTATTCAAAAAGTTGCAAAACTCATCCTTTTGTATATTTTTTAAAGAAACTCATGTCACCAATAAAAAATATTTCAAATCGAATGAATATATATACACACAGTTAAGTTAGCCAAGTTGGATTATTTTTTTAACTTTTAGACATTGGGAATTTAAATCATATATAGACAAAATATTTCATATTGTGAATATTCTTTGTAAAAAATATGTCCAAATATAACTCCAACTTTAAAATTTTCAAATAATGTAATTTTTTATTTAATTTTCACAACAAAACGCCTAAGTAATTTCACTAAATTACCAATATTTTTATATATTGTATAAAACGTGAATTGCATTGTGTATATAATATATACGTACTATATATTTTTTAGTAAAGAGAATCTCTAAATAGTTGCACATAATATTTTTAAAATGATTTTTTCCCCATAATCTTTTAAACCATTGGATCCTATTGTATAAATATTTCAAAAATTATGTATTATTGCAAGTCAATTTACTTGATGCAAAAAAAACACTATAAACTAACAACACACAAAATTTAAATTATGAGAATAAAATATTCATTTTCTATCTATATCCTCGTTCTTTTTAGGTAACATTGATCTTCTCGATGTAGCTAATACATGACCAGCAAATTAAAAAAAAATTATTTTTATTGGTTCAATTAGTTACTTTACAAAAATAGACTGAAGAGTGATTCTTGTTATTTTTTGGTAGTATAGGAATATTTTTTGCTCACTTAAATAATATAAGAATGTACATTAAATTTGAATCATAATTGAGGGATGATTTTAGCCAAAAACTGTCCAGTATAGCCTCAACTCTAGCAATAAACATATATAAAGAAATAAGATCCATTATTACTAATTTTATTGACACTTTAATTTCAAGCTAATTATTTAAAATAAAATTTGTTTTTAAAACATAACAAATTTAAAAATTTATCTACCCTTGGTTAGGGATCCAAATAGTTTTATCTAGGGGTGTGAACTATTTTGATTAAAACGAAAAATCAAATCAAAATCAAATCGAATTTTAATTTGGATTTTTGGTTTGATTTTGGATTTATAATTTACTTTGTTTGGTTTTTTGGTTTGGTTTCGATTTTAGAAAAATGAAAATCAAAAAATTGAATTATATATATGTATATATATAACACAATACTTAAAAGTATATCAATTATAGATTTTCAAACATAAGAAAATAAACTAAATCATAATAAGAATAACTAAAAAGGGATAAAAGTGGCTAACTCCAACTTAATATATATATATATATATATATATATATATATATATATATATAATTTTTAAAATTGCAAATAATTTTATTACGTTTCTAATTATTGACATAACCAATTAACAAAACCAAAAAAAGAAAAACCAAACCAAATAGTATAAAACCGAATCGGAAAAACTAATTCACACCCAAAATTTTATCTCCCCAATCCCTTTATCCTAATCATGTTTCCAATAACCCTAGAATACAAATTTATTGAACAGAAAGGGGTAATAGGTATATCTTTGTATTATTAAAAATGATTTAAATATATTTTTATTTAGTTTTGCGTTTAATATATTCTTTCTATTATACTTTAACACATTCAGTAAAATCTCACTAAATTAATAATTGGTATATTAATAATCTCTCTAAACTAATGTTTTCTTTTAGTCCCAATTTGGAGCAATAGAAAAAATTACTTATTCTGATAAAATAATAAGAAATATATTTTAGAAGACTTTTATATAAATATATGGAGCCATTAATATTATAAATTAATAATTTTTAAAATTTCTAATATATGTAAGATAATTTAATGAAATATGATTAAATTATTTTTATTTTTTATTATATTTTAAATTTAGTTGAAGGTTATCTCTAACTTTTCTTATTGCATATCCTAAGGCTTTCAGGTTACATCATAAAATTGCGAAGTATTCGAAATGTGATAAATGTATTCTTATGTGTAACTAGTTCCAACGTCAATTTCTTCTAAACTCTAAATTTCTGAACATGAATCTTAAAATACTTTTTTAATTAACGAAATTATTTTATTGATGGAATAATATCTCTATAAAATAATAATATTTCATGATTCCGCCGATATTAATTTAATAACCAACAAAGTGACATGTGAAAAATTCTCGTCTACTTTTGTTAAACTTTAAGGACCTTTTGTGTACAAGTCAATATATAAAGGACCAAAGTAGCTCTACGCATATACATAAGGGGCCATTTGCAATTTTCCCTGTTTTAATTTACTGTTTCTTCCCAATCTCTCTCTCGTCGTAAAGGTCGAAAAAAAACCCTCTTGCCACCGGTTCGCCACCGCCTGCGGCAAATCCGCCTCTCTTGTCGCCGTGAAGTTTCCTGCCTGCGGTGTTTGGTTGTCTTCGATCTCAAACTCTCGATTATACCGTCTGCTCTTTTATTGGTATGTATCTCTCACTATTTCTGTTAGCTAATCTTTCTGCATTTGATTTTGCTGGATTGAAGGAATTGCTTTGTTTGAACTATTTCGCCGGTAATGGAGTGATTTACTTGCTCTTTTCTTAAAACTGCACTGTTTTATCTTCTTCTATTTATTTGTTTCTTTTTGTTCTCCATATTTCTTTTAGGGCTTTTCGGTGTTGTTCATTGAATCTAATTGACAGAGGTTCATTTTTAGGAGTTGGAAAAGAAAAAGAAAAATCGAGGTTCAAAATATGATTGAAAGAACATTATTTGTTTGTCCTTGATAATCTTCTGTTTACCTCTCTTACTCAAAAAAATGAGAATTAGTCAATGTATTGATGTAAATGCGTCTAATTTTATTTGCAGAGTTCATAAATTGCTAAATAAGATCAAACTGGTTGTAATTTTTATGGTGAATTTCTCAATTTGTAAATGGAGATGTTTTTTATTTGTATGTCAGCAATATTATTGTAAGTTTATTTGCTTTAGGTTTTTGCCATTTTTAGCCTTTTTTAGCACGATTGATTTGTCTTTATAAGCTGAAAAGACGGATAAACTGAACCAGAGCCCAAAGTATTGGATAATTGACCATATGTATACTATATCTGGACATGTTAATGATAGCATGTTTATGTTCAAAGCAGTGTGGCACCTGGAATCTCTAAATTCTGAAGCCTCTCTTTGACCGACTTTGGTGAAATACTCGTCTCTTTCTCAAAGTAAAATCTGAGTTGTAAGTTCCCTTTTTCCTCATTTTCTGTCCATCCAGCTCCTCCATAAACTGATTCTCTTTGTCTCTGCTTATACTGAAGCCATTACTTTGTTCTCTGTCCAATGCTTTTTATTGCTAGATGGAGAATTCAAATACTCCAGCATCTGATTCGAACGCTGCCAAAGCTGAAGCTGAACAGCTGCCAACAGCTCCCGGTAAGAGACCTCCTCCTCCTTCTCAACTGGAAACAACTCTACTCAATTTATTTGTGGTTACTGGCGTCCTGTCATTTGGGATATCATCTCAAGCTGATTTAGAATATAGAGCTAATGAATAGGGAAAATTGTATATAATAGCAAACTAATAACCTAAAATAAATTGAGTAGCTAGGGTTTAATTTAATTGTGCTCCATAGCAAACGTTAGTTAAAGTTTGCCAGGCGTCTCTCTCCCAAAAATCTCGCTCGCCACTCTCCGTTCTCGCTCGCCTCTCTCACTTTATACACAAAAGTGTATAAATTCTGTTTCTGTTTTGTATAAAGCGAGAGAAAATTGTATATACACATGCAAAAATATATATCTTCGTGTTATACACTTAATTATACTATTTACAAACATTTTACTTCAAATATTGCAGAGAAAAAGGCCAACGAATTATACAATTGCGAATTATACAATTGCAGTGAAATACAATTTTCTCTAACTTTATACAACAGAAGTGTATATATTGTGTTTCTGTTTTTGTATAAAGCCAGAGAAAAACATATATCTTTCTTGCTATACACTTATAATTATGCAATATACAAACATTTTAATTCGATTCAATTGTATGCGAAGCAAATTTTATAAAAATATTGCAGCGAATTATACAATTGTGCATTATACAATCGCAGTGAAATAGGATAGCGAATTATACAATTGCAGCAAAATAAGTCAGCCAATTATACAATTTACATTGATGATAAGTCACTGTAATCTGATTCTACATCACCATTATCAGATTCTAAGAAGCTGCAGCTACCACTGTGCAGCGTATTAGAATTAAATCTTCTGAATTGTTGGTGTATAATCTGATAATGCACTGTAATTTGAGTAGCTGCTGTTACCCCCATAGTAAGTATTAACATAAACTGTTCAGAGGTTTAGTTCTAGTCCATATATGATTATCTCGACTTTGCCACTGAAGATGACTGTACGAATGTTCTCATCAATACTGTTTTTGTTAGTACCCCGGGTTTGCATATATTATTATGTATTCTACGCTAGCAAATATTAATCCTTAGTTTCTTTTCTCATCTAGCTCGCTTTTGCCTTCTTTTGTCAATTTACTGTGGCTTCTTTTGCTTAATATGTTTTTGTATACTTTCCTCTATTGCAGTATGCAATTTTTTCAAAAAACCATCCAAGGGAAAAAATATCAGAAAGCGTCCTACAGTTGAAGAGGGAGAGAATGAAGATGCAGAAGGAGATAGTTCAGTCATATATACCAAGAAAAAGCCAGCGGTTGCGAATAATAAGCTGCACTTCTCAACTGGACCTTCAAAGTCCAACAAGGATACTGACTCCAATGTAGATTCAAAAGCGGCTCGTTTTCATTTCGAGTCCTCAAAGGAAATTCAAGTTCAAAATGATAGTAGAGCAACAGCTACTTTAGAAACTGAGACTGAGTTCTCTAGAGATGCCCGGGCCATTCGAGAAAAAGCTCTGAAGCAGGCAGAGGAGGCTTTAAAGGGAAAAAGCAAGACAGGTGGTGATGACAAATTGTATAAAGGTATGAATCAATATACTGATTACAAAGCTGGTTTGAGAAGAGAACATACGATTTCTAGTGAGAAAGCTGGTGGAGCGCATGGTCCTCTCAGGGCTTCTGCTCACATCAGAGTTTCAGCAAGGTTTGACTATCAACCAGATATCTGTAAGGACTATAAAGAGACTGGATATTGTGGATATGGGGACTCCTGCAAATTTATGCATGACCGTGGAGATTATAAGTCTGGGTGGCAGATGGAAAGGGAGTGGGATGAAGCTGAGAAAGAGAGGAAAAGAAAATTGGCTCTGGGAATGCTCAATGAAGACGATGAGGATGCAGAGAAGAGTGATGAAGATGACGACGATGATGCATTACCATTTGCTTGTTTTATCTGCAGAGAGCCTTTTGTTGATCCTGTTATGACCAAATGCAAACACTACTTCTGTGAGCACTGTGCATTAAAGGTAATTTCAGTTTCCTTTTACTCTTTTTGCTTGATCATATCACGGGGTCTGCGAACAAAGTCCACTTTTCTATGTCTTCTCCATTTCTCTTTTTAAAAAATATTTTTCCTTATTTGAGATGACATAGTTTATTCCCCCACCTTCTCCAAATCTCAACCACCTAAATAAGGAATGGCAACAGAGTGAAAGAGAGATGGTTGTAAAAGACTTTCTTGGTGTCTTTTTCTGTTGTCACTCATTTATAATGAAATCACCCGTTGAAATAGGCAAGAGTTTCAAGTATTTCAATTTACCCTTTTCCTCAAGTAAAAGCTGCCTCTTCTATTGGTTTGGACTTTTGTCAACCAATATAGACTATTGAAAACAGTTTGAGCTACTGTCACCTAGGGCACAGAGCTATGACTTATTTAACTTCTATTTATACTTTGCATGTGGATTTCAAGAATCTCTTTTTTCTTTTTGGTGGTTGTGGTTAACAGCACCATGCAAAGAATAAGAAGTGCTATGTATGCAACCAACCAACCCTTGGGATATTCAATACAGCATTTGAAATACGCAAGAGGATGGCGGCTCAAGGGAAATGATGGATTTTCTGCCAGTTCTCTCTTTCACGATGCCATAGAAGTGGATCTTGCTTTACTGTAAGTGTCTACAAATTGGATACGTTAGATTTAAAATGTGCACTTCCTTTATATGTAAAGTATAATACCATTTGTTTTCTTGCTAGAGCTCTCGCACAACTGATTCTCGACCTGCTATACTCCACCTACATACTTGAACAGTTGGTTTTGATACGTAGGTACATGTTAGCCTTGTAGAAATAGGAATACCTACATGTTTAGAACAATGCCTAATGTAAAAAATAAAGTTATTGGATTAGATTTAAAATGTGCATTTCCTTTATATGTAAAGTATAATACCATCTGTTTTCTTGCTAGAACTCTCGCACAACTGATTCTTGACCTGCTATACTCCACCTACATACTTGAACATTTGGTTTTGACCTTGTAGAAATAGGAATACCTACATGTTAACCTTGTAGAAATAGGAATACCTACATGTTTAGAACAATGTTTTGTCAAAAAAAATAAAGTTTATTTAGAAGAATACTTCCTTATAGATTGGAATTAGGGCTGCTCAAAATCAAACCTAGACAGACTTTTTCCGTACCTAAACCAACAAAAATTGGAAATATCGGTTCTTCATTCAGTTTTTCTTTTAAATTGTTGGGTTACATGGTTCAGTACTTGGTTCTTATCAATATTCAGTTTAAACCAAATACCTAACTAATATTATTTTAATTTAAAATACTATTATACATTTTATTTTATACAAAATTTGTACTTAACTTTGGTTTTTCTTTCACTTTCAACTTTCAATTCATGATCAACAGAGTAAAGAAATCCTTAGCCCTAGTTTCTCTGCTGTTGCCCTCTGCCAACTTCAAGACTCTGCTCTCTGATATGATATGATCCTCCAATGCTGAGAGTTCCACTTTTTGTTGCTACTTTCCAGCGTCATCAGCAGCAAGCCAAAGAATTTTTCACTATTTCCTTTCAGTGAATGGGTTAACTTGTTTGTCTTCGGTTTCATAATGTAACCTTTTTTCATTGCTTTATCAAGCTGTCCAAGTTTTTGCTAAAGTTGGGTGATTGTTAACACATGCAAGGAGAACAAGCTCCTTGTGATAGGGTACTGGAAATTTTGAGCCTTTGAACTTATGCAGTTCGCAAGTTAGCCTTCGTTCATCACTTTTAAGTTTGTAATTCTACTAATGACATGGTTATCACTCCAAAATCTCACACTTTAGAATCCTAACTTCTATCCCTGAAGCTTCAAAGGCCAGCAGGAATGTTAATATGTAGGTGAACTCTATGTTGTTCAGACTCTTCAAAAGTGTCATCGGGTGCGTATCGGATCCTTCGAAAGTAGTGCATTTTTGGAGGATCTGACACGGGTGATATATAATATGTGACACGTGCCCCACTTCCCAAAGATAAACATAAATTATATAATTAGGGGATGCAATCAAGAGTACCTGAATTGGTTTCTTTATTTGGCAGGTTGAATGATGATTATGATTCAAGTAACAGGTTGTGATTGATGTATGATAAGGAAGTTTGAAACAATACCAACGCTGGTGGAAGATGAAGATTAGGACATTGACTTGAACGTCCAATATCACTTCATGTGAAGAGTCGATATATATTTTCTTATGTAAGTACGGCAACTTATATGGAATTAGGTTATGTGTCTTTCCTTTGCTTTGTTGCCTTAGTCATGTATTTTTGAATTTTAAGCCTACATGATGAATCACTTCAGTTGCTCGTCTATCTGTCTCAGCTAGATATCATATCTTTTTGCTGGTTTGAATTACTATGAAGGGACTAAAATTGTAAGCTTTAGCAACCAACCTTCTAACTTCTATATTTGGTCACAATGGAAATGACATTACTCTTTTCAAATCTGATGATGGTGTAGTTGAGTTAACATGCATCGACGACCGAAATCGTAGTCCCATTTCTTTTTCTTTGAGAAATTAAAATGCTCACTACTTAGGTAACTAAGAAAACAATGCTAAGTTGCTTGTAGCTTCTTTACATGTAAGGAACTCTTCCAATTTTCATTTGAATTGCTGTTACAAAGAGCTTGAAAATATACAATTTCTAATGTCATAGAAAGAACTTTGCTTTCTTTTCTCCTATTGTATACAAAAGATGGTTAGTGAAAACCAGGGGAGAGTGAGCATTCATCCACTAAATCTAAACCTGTTATAGACAAATAAATTAGCCATAAAACAGTTCCATGGCTCACGAGATTCAATTAAAACCAAAAAAAGAAGGAAAAGAAAACGAAAAATCATCTTTCGGCTCATCTCTCATTGGGCAAAAAGTTAGACATCAGCAGAACAAAATCCGGTTAACCTGTACGTCATGAGTGTATATATGCACGGACAACATCTATAATAGGGGTTTCACATATCGGACATTTTCCGGTGCCCCAAAGCAATTCATGGGCACACCTGAAACAGGTGCACATGTGCCCACACCTGAAAATTAAGGACAAATGTTCCCAAACTTATTTCTAACGAACGAACTTTTAAGTTGCCCAAGTGAAAACTTCTTGCTACAATCAATGCCAAGTACCTGTAAAGGAGAGAATCAACTTGCTGCTCATAACAAATACAGCAATTTGCTATGTTTGCACCCTTCTTATCCGAGTTACTCCCAATCACTGGACCTGCATTACAAAATTCCGTTCACACTCTCTCTAAAGAAACGAAATTGAAATAGACGGAAAAAAAAAAGATCACATGTAGATGAAGCTCATAAGTGAAGCCCAATCTTGGAACTTGTAAGATTGTGAGGTTCAACACATAGTTCAATAAGGTAAGCTTATCCCCCGAGGAAAAGTATTCAATAAGGCAAATAATATAAGAAGTGAAACGACTTCACCTTTGGGTATTTCACCTATCAAGTTTTTCTTTCAGGTTACAAAGGGTTTTATGAAGTTGGAAAAGACGCACAGAAAAATCATAGTTTTATGATAGATGATGGTAAGTATCTTATATTCAGATTTCAGTCAACCAACACACCTGACTGAATTATTGCAGCTGCAACCTCGTCCTTGATGGAATGTTGTAAATTCATTTGCATGTTCATGCAACTGTTTATTGATCTTCGTATTTCAAAAATCTCTTGGTGGAGTTGCTCCATGTGTCCTCGCAATTCATATATCAGTTCCATTTCCTGTTAATGCCATGTCGTTATGACTAGTCTCAAACTCAGGAATATCTGGCAAGTCATTGCAAGTAAAAGAAAAAAGAGAAAACTTACGATTGAAGGGTGTCTAGTGGAGGTGGAGGAGCTTTGTTGATTGTGATGAGAGTAAATGTTGGATAATTCAGGCTGTGGTAAAGAATTAGAGGGACGGTGATAGGAGTCGTCACTGACACCCCTGTCTTGATCATTACTCCATGATGGTAAAGTGTCCTGATTATTTCTCCACGACTGTAAAGTGTGTGAAGCTTTGTTCTGATCAACTAATTCCTCAGGTTTAAGGTATTGTTGTCTAATTGGATTATTATCATCTTCAAAGTCATCCTCATAACCTGAGTACGCTTCTTCCTCATCATCATCAACCCCGGCTGCTCGTGTTTCTATATGTGATATCACTTCCTCCTCCTTGCCCCATTCTTTAGTCATACGTGCCCCTACTTTTTTCTCAAGCTGGCCGCTCCTTGCATTAGGTAGTTCTTGTGAGCGAGACGCCATTAGTTGATCTATCTTGTCTCTCAAACCACTGTTGAGAAAGATTGAAACACTTTTTCTGCACATTTATGAAAGACAAAAGCAAGTGCAAATCATTAACTATGTTTATACTACAAAAGCTGAGTAATTAATATCTTATGACAGCAAAAGGAGATACAAAGACTCTATTTTCAATTATCACTTCCCCTTGGTAAGCAGGGAACAATGACTTCCTTTTCCAAATTGCAAAAAGTTCTTTTACACGTATCCCAGCTCGATCAAAATCCGTTTCACATTCTTTAACATGTTAAAGTCAGTAAGTTCTCAGAGATGATCTCCAAACCAGCACGGACAAGTACAGAAATGATCCATACACTAAGTGAAAATTATATTCTGAGGTAGAATCACTTCTGTCATCGCCTTCATTCTTATTAACTTTGTCTATGTCTATGGCACCTTTGTATTGTAACAATGGTTTCTATCTGATACACTTTGTAAAAATCAGATTCTCATTCTAGTGGTTTGTTATTGATTCTCCCTTGATTATTTTATGCTTAATTAATGCAGGCAGGGGAACTGTCTTTGGATCGTATTGATCGTACATAAATACCCAAATAAACTTAAACCCAACTATTGTATAATGACAAGAATAAATATATATATGATAAGTCTCAGATCAGATGCAAGGAATTTGCAATTACCTGTTAAGAAGTTGGCGAATATCATGATTCTCTAGGAAGGGATCAAGCATCTCTTGGTATCTTTCTTGCCTAAGACCTTCCCACTCTTCACGTGGACGAGAAACATCATTTATCCAGTCTTGGTTGGATTCTAATTGCTGCTGGTAGTTAGACTGTAGTTCATCCCATCCACTTGGCGTGTGCGAATAATCACTTACCCAGCCACAATCACTGTCCACTAGATTTTGGTTGGTAGCTTCCTCTTCACAGTCACTTTGAGGTTTGGTGCTCTCACTAGACCACTCATTACTAGTTCCTGCATGCTGCAGTTTATTTGCATCGTGTTCTTCTCTATGGACACTTTGTTCACTATCCTTGGGAGATCTTGATGTCTCTAAAAATTCCAGCGACTTGTCATGGTTAGCTTGACAGCTTGCATTTTCCCAGCTAGCTTGGTCATGGGGAATATCTGAGCTGTGCAGTTGTGAAGTACAATGTAGTAAACTGGGGCTAACTGCTTGAGGACTACAGTCTACCTCATTATGTTTCGGACTATAAGAACTGTCAGAATGTCGGATATGAATTGACATTTCTTTCTGGGAATTTGATGAGTTAGTAGCTTTTACATTTGTTGTCATCATTCGGGGACTTATTTTCTTATTGACTTCCCCATGGGGATTCTCCTCTTGCAGTTGATTGGATGGAAAAACTTTTCCAATTTGTGTATTGCTATCTATCACATTTATGCAGAGAGTCATTGGGTCAATCGGCTCAGGATGATCCTCTCGTGTAGATGTAGAAGCAATTTCGGATTTAGGACTGCTATTGCTTCTTGAGTCAGCTACACCAGGCTGCATTGCAGCACTCTCTCTGATAATCTCCTGCTTCTGGTTCCCTTCTCTTTGCTTGTGGGATGCTAATTCACTTCCAACTTTTACAGCATTATTACCTTTGTTCTGTACTCTTTGCTGATTTGGTGTGGAATTCCGGTTTTCCTGGGTGTTCTCTGCTGCTTCTCTCGAGAGGCTTCTGGAGTCAGATACACCATTTTGACTTCCTGTATTGAACTTTTCCCTGAAATGAAATACTATCCAAATTATGTAAATTCCATAAGGTTGAAAGATAAGAAGTTTGGTTCCAATAAGGTAGAACCAAATGGATAATTGATTTCTTTTGAACCACTCAACTTCTAAGGAAAATTGCCCTGATTTGAAGGGAAAGTCGAGACTTGTGATAATTTCTGTTGGACCTACTACTACCCCGTTAACATGTAATCATCAACTTCAATTGTTATGTTCTTATACAATCCAAAAGGTATTTTATGCTGAGCTCATTCTGATATATTCAGATAAAGCAAAATATTGAATAAATGGAAGCTAAGAGATGAAACATTTTGTCTACAACATCAATAGGTTCCAATGATAAGATTTCCCCCCGACTGTGTTACATACCATAATCTTATTTGCCTTAGCATGTCAAACAAATAGAAACGTTAAAAGATTCATTCTTTCGTCATGTTATTCAAAACCTACTTCGGATTGAGCATATGATAACAGCATTCTTGCTCCAATTTTTTCATATTTTAAGCAGTTGAATATTCACATCTTGATGATCAACAATATTCTCCACAAGGTAATTGCAGATTATTCTTTTTTGCAATGTATATATAGAATCAATAGAGACATGGTGTTTACCTGATATGCATGATTGCAGAACTAGACACTCTATTTGATTCGGATGATGTGCCATTGGTTGATCGATCATCTCTGGTGTCTGTGACACGACGCAGGAATCTAACTTTAAGCAAAGCCTGTTTTAGGAAATTGGATTGTGAAGACCAATCAG